AATAAAAAAGAAGAAAGAAGATGAACAAAATTCAGTCAAAATAAGATGTCTCAAGACAATAGTAATAAGAGCACCCACAATGTTTTGGTTTCTTAGAAAAAAGTTACATGCCATGTAAGGAATAGACCTAGTCTATAAAAAAGTGTTCTCCAATGCAATTAAAAGTGGAACTAGTCTAGCTTATGTGACAATAAAAAAATGAGACCTAGTCCACACTTGGGTCTATTTTAGACTCAAGTACAAACCCAAGCACTCATCATTTATTCCTCATTTAATTTTTCTTTTAATAAATGAAATATACTAGAGCATTTTTATTAGTTGTCATGTATTCTAGACCTAGTACTTTTTGGTTTTGCATTGGATAGATTTTGGTTTTTTTAGTTTAGGTTTGTCCATGTCATTATGGACTTAAGTCTATTTATTTGCCACATATGCAAAAAGAGACCCAAAGCATTGTGGATGCTCTAAAGCCTAAAAGAAAACGACACACTTCTCTTCTTTTCACCACTTCCCGCAGCCCTCATCTTGCACAGTGCTACTACCGTGTGCCTTGGCACACCTAGTAAGGTGTGTCAAGGCAGTTTAAAATGAACATGTTTCATTACAAAATGAACATGTGTAAATTTTTGTAATGAAACATGTTCATTTTAAAAAAACTTTGGCACACCTTGCTAGGTGTGCCAAGGCACACCTAATTATTTGCGCTTGCGAAGGGCACCAGCCATCTCCTCTCTCATCTTTTTTGCCCTCTTATGGCTATGGGTGCCCAATTTTCTCTTGGCAACCTTCAGAGCACGCTTGTCCTTTCCAGCTTTAAGAAGATCGGTGATTCTCTTCTCGTACGGTGCAAACCCAGCAACCTCTCTAATGAGATTCCTTGCAAATGCACCTTCTTGCTTGTTTTCCCTTTCCTGTTCGAAGGGCGAGGAGCTAATTCTTTGGGGGTAACAACATGCCCCTTCTTCAAACTCACAGATAGTCCACTATTTGGCTACTTTGAAGCCATCACCTTCTTTCTCCGACCGATATGCTGAACGCCGGTAGAAAAGTGAGGCGGAGGATGATTAGGTCGAGTTGGATTGGGGTTGATAAATGTAGTCTAAGTTTTTGTTGTACCCGTTTATATTGAGAAGAAATTGTACATTTTTTTTTATTTAAAAAAAAAATGATTTTCCTATTTAGATGTGGACTAGGTTGAACTAGAAATCTCATTACGATATAGTTTGTTTAAATACCCCCAATTCACAGATATGTCCTTAGTCGATTCCTTAGTCGGTAGAGAGAGCCATGAGATCCCTCTCAAACACCACCAAATCCTCGAGAAAGACAAGGCGGATTAGCGTTTTTCAACGCCTTTCGTACGGTACCAATCCACCTGCCAACGGCAATTCGAAGCCGGTCCAATCCGCTAATGCTAGACGCCGAGATTCGACCAGCAATCTGATGTTCCTCGTCAGTCACGTTTGCAACGGAAACATTGACTACTCTGTAATAACAACAGAAAACAACAAAAAAAAAATCTTTCACTTTCAGGTTAGTGCCGGATGCCGATGATGATTTTCCTCACAACTTGTTGTCTTTAATCAGAGTTGGAAACTACACTCCCCTTGTGTTTTCTGGCTACCCGGTTATGGGAAGCTGCGACTCCTACATCTGGGTGCTATGCGCACAAAATCCTCATCCATACGACCTTCTGTGGGACATGGCGGCATCGAGGTCCGTCGGCTGTTACCCTTCTGTTTTCCCAACTATGAACAACGAGTGGCTCAGCGGCTTTGGGTTTGATCCTTTATCCGGTGACTATAAGGTGGTTAGATGTTGGATGAATGAGGACTTTGGTCCCATCAAGGAAGTCTACGCTGAGGTGTTGTCGCTCAGAACTGGTTCGTGGAAGGAGATTCGGTATCCTTACAATACCAGCAGTGTGATACCAGCTTTAAGAAGCTCGTCAATATGCATTAACGGTTTTCACTATTGGTTGGTTAACGCTCGTAGTCGTTTTACTATTATGTTGTTCGACTTTTCTAACGAGATGTTTTGTGCTGATCTTATCCGTTTACCGAAGGAGGAGAAGCTGATTAAGTTGCTGCGCGTTGTGCTTGTCGAGTTTCATGGGTCGCTGGCTGTTATCTGCTGCGATTCCGAGTCTGAAGAGGACGATTGTTTTACTTTTGAGATTTGGGTGTGGAGGAATGAGGGTAATTGGTTCCTTGTATCGATGTTCGATGTTCCTGCATCTGCTGCTCCTCGTAAGGTGTTGGGACTCTACAAGAACGAAAAAATGTTTTTTCAGGACTCCAAAGGTTACTTGCTGCTTTACAATTGTGCTACCAGAGACTTGGAGAATCTCGGAATCCATGATGATCAACACATTGCCCAGGTTTTCCCTTACATTAAGAGCTCCGTTGGTCCAGTCACAGGTCCGGTGGTTAAGAGGAAATATAATTAGAGCTCATTTTATGGCATCTATCTTTGTTTGAGTGTTGCGTTTTTACATTTGTTTGAATGGTATCTGTTGTGTATGTCTATATGGTCCTTAGTTTACTTTGTTGTTGGACTGCTCCACCACTCTTCCTTGTTTGTGGTTTCTTTTGTTGTATTGACTTTATATTTAAGTTATCAATTTTTATTTGCTTCTAAAACAGCTTACCAGTCGTTTTCGTTTCGCTCTTCTTTTTTTTTTTAAAAAAAAAATAAACTTATTATTGCACGTTTAGTGGATACCTACGAGAGATTCTAGCTAGCAATGATATACAGTTACGACGATGTTATGATCTCATGTTAGATTAGGGCTGCACATTCGGTCGAAACCGAACCGAACGTATTTTCGGTTAACCGAAATTTGGGTTGGTCAAGTATTAACGGTTAGGTTTTCGGTTTATAACCGAAAATCCAGCGGTTTTATCGGTTCGGTTATCAATTATCGATAACAAAGAGAAATAATAAAAAAAATCTACAATTCGTGAGTTACATTTATAAAAATAACAATAATTACTACTTAATAATTTTACCAAAACAAATTAAAATACATAAGAATAAAAAAAAAAAAAAAAAACTTGTCCCAAAATACATATTTATCATATCTCTTACATCACACTAGGTTCCTTAGACATAAAAATAACAATTTTTGGACACACGAAATAATAATAATAATAATAATAATAATAATAATAATAATAATAATTAAGACTTCGGAAATTTTCATTGAAATGCCGAATAGGGACTGGACCTCTGCAATCGCCAACTGGGATTATGGGTAGATAGGAATTGGAAAGTGATAGTGGCGTTGGTTTGGGCCTATCTCGTGGTGGATTGGGCCTACGGGTGTTGGTGTTTCATAATTTTTCATAGCAATTGGCTAAATAATATATCATTATTTTCGGCATTTATAACTTATATGTATAATATCGGTTTTCGGTTCGGTTCAGTTAACCGAAATACAATACTCAAATCGAATCGAAAATCGAAATATTAAAAAAATATAAATAAAAAACCGAACGAAATATTCGGTTTTGGTTTCGGTCGAAACCGAATTTTCTAGAGTTCGGTTTACAAAACCTTGGTTTACAAAATCGGACCGGACTGGCCGATTCATCCGACGGTGTTACGACGATGGCGTGTTCCATGGATTGGTTTGGGCCTATCTCGTGGTGGATTGGGCCGACGTGTGTTGGTGTTCCATAATTTTTCATAGCAATGGGCTAAATAATATATCATTATTTTCAGCATTTATAACTTGTATGTATAATATCGGTTTTCAGCGAAGTTAACCGAAATATTATACTCAAAAAATCGAATCGAAAACCAAAATATTAAGAAAATATAAACCGAAAAACCGATCGAAACCGAATTTTCTGGGGTTCGGTTTACAAAACCTTGGTTTACAAAACCAGATCGAACCGACCTATTCAACCGACGATGTTACGACGATGACCGGTTCGATTTTCAGAACCTTGGTCTAACCCTGTGCATCCTTTGGATGATTTGCTGACTCGTGATTCGGGATCTTGTTAAGATTTTAATCATTTTTTTTTTCTGTGCCATGCACGAGATGTTTATTAATATTTATAAATTGAAAATATTCATTATATAATATTTATAAATTAAATATATTGAATCAATATGTAATACAAATTACCCATTCTTATTTATTTGAAATGTTATGTGAATTTTAAATTGTGCAAATTACATAAAACCTGGCTATTCAAAATTAGTACACAACTCGTATGGTGGACATAACCGATAACAATTGCCAAAAAACCAAGTTGTACCATTTTCAACAGACGGAGTACTGTACTGTTTCATGGTTAGAAAAACGTGAAACGCAAAAACTAACGCAAGATTAGATGTCCTGAAAACACAAACGTCTGAGAATGAATGCTAAATTTACCAACACTGGTTTGGGCCTCCCTACATAAGTTACATGTCACACTGGTCACCATTCTCGTCTAACTACTCTGAGTTACTGCAGCTGCAACACCAAAATGCTTCCCAACTAAGGAAGTCTGATAGTACTCTTACCTGTTAAAGTACATGAAAAGAGAACGAGTTTAGATAAATCCTGTTAAATATCGTTGTAAAATTTAGAAGGCCCTCAAACTAGATGTTTCAGTAAAACATATATAGCCCAATAATACATTCATTTAAACCTTAGCGTAATCGTAAAACGAGCATGCTTCACTTAGCGACGAGTGCTGTTAAAGGCACTTAAAAAATGTATGTTCACAGGATCTTTTTGTGTATGGTTGTAGATGGTGGCCTAAATATAATCAGCAACATTAATTAGAGAATAGTATAAATCGAAAACAACATACAGTGTAGTCTCCCATCTTTTGGCTAATAATCACACTTTTTTTCTTTTCTTTTTCTTCTAAGTTCCAGTGATCAATTATTTGCAAAAATTTAGTGATTCCTAGGTCATCCCCAATTCAACAAAATATCGAGCCATACAAATTACCTTATAATAAAAATTCGTCTTGCCAATGATCGATCAACTCTGTTCATTTTTTGTCATTGGCGGCACTGCCAGAATGATCAACTCTTATGATGAAGACCTGGAATATAAAAGACCATTAATAAACTTCTAAGTGTGCAATTCAAATTCAGCAAAGAGTTCAGGTAAACGCAAAAAAAGTTTGAGCCATACGCGAAACACGGATGGTTTGATCAACTGGAAAACAAGAGCATCGCCATCAACCAAGTTGTGATCAATGGAGAACTTTTTCCAGCCACCGCTAAGCCCAGTTTTACGAGCCAAATAGATAACCGGCCACTCGTCCCCTTGCTCGTCTACCAATTGGATCACTCCATCATTCTTAGGGAGTATCCTCTTGCAGTAAGACATAGAAAGTCCCTGCATTTTTTGGAATCGTATATAAATATTGTTAACTATTTTCGTTCTCTCTCTTCATTAAAATTCTAGCTAGTCACAATGAACATGTAAAATGATAGGCCCTCGCTCACCAGCCAAAAACCTCCGCTAACGTGGGATGGGAGCATTGATCTCACAAAGGTCGGGTGGTCGGACCCGAGACTTGATTCCAACTTCTCTGCTTTTCCCATTGCACGTTCCCTTGCTTCATCCGAAGCATAAACCCGATTCGAAAAATCCCTCGGCTTTTGAGTTACTCTGTACAGGTTGCAAATTACAACAATTAGAAATGCATATGTATAATAGCATTTTCAGAATGTAGTGTTTGAACCAATGTGAAGACCATACCTTCGAGGAATCTGCACGCGCTCGTAAAGCGTGACCTATGAAGATTGATTTTTTTTATATATAAATATAGATCAATAGAAAAAAGGTCAGAAAATTGGGTTTTTTCTTTATTTGCAAAAAATATTTTTTTTTTTTTCTTTTAAAGAAAAAGAAAAGAAAATCAAAGAAATGAGAAATCGAAAAAAACCTCTTTGAACTGCGGAGCTGATTTGTTTGAAAATCTTAGTGATCTTCGGACAGGGACAAGCTTTGTCTTGGCAACTCGGGGTTTTGTCTTCTTCATCTTTATGTTCATCAAATCCAAACAAGAAAAAAGGGGTTTAGGAGAAGTGAGAGAGAGAGAGAGAGAGAGAGAGAGAGAGAGAGAGAGAGAGAGAGAGAGAGAGAACGAACCGGCGAGGGTTTAGGAGAAGAAGCTTTGAGGAGCACTTGAGAGAGAAGAGGGAGATGGAGTTCTTCCATTCTCTTCTTGTTCTCTTCCAATCTCTTCTGCCGCACAGCCTCATACTCGGCTTCACACATCACCATTGTTTTCCACAATCCAACTCTGGAAATCTTGATCTTGAGGGAAGAAGACGATAATTAAACAGAGAAAATCAAATTTATTTTCCTATTCCCACTCAACCTTAAAAAGCGGCCCTTTATTTGTTTCAAAATTTGACCGTTGGAGTCCCACTTATGCCTCTGCCATCAACTGTGGAGATTCGTGCCTACTGTTTTTTAATTTTTATGTTGTTATTATTATTATTATTATTATTATTATTATTATTATTTTGTAAAAATTTCAAAACTAATATGCTTATTAGTTTAGTTGTTATAAAATATTTCACCATTAAATATACCAAACCCTTTTGTTTATCAAACATGCGCGTTTCGTCTTATATTTTAAAAAACTAAACAAATTCTTTGTTCGTAAATTATACACCCAATTGAAAGTCAACTCTGAATGGCTTGTCTTATATTTTAAAAAACTAAACGAATTCATTGTTTCCAAACACCGACCTGATCAAACCCTACCTGTCAAAAACACTGTCTCTCCCACTTTGTCCAAATTATCCAAAGCCTCATCCTCCAGTAGTCAACTCTGAATGGCTTGTTGAAGTCCCGGTGGTAGTTGAAAGTAGTATTCTTGTCATTACCCAAGACAAGAATAATGCTGCAGCTATTAAACTGAGCCCCTCGGCACCCAGACCTATTAAGATTATTAGAAAATATGTCAGAGAAAGTATGCTATTGACCCTGCTCCTGTTGCTGAAGAAACTTCTTTAAATGAAAATAAAAAAAGAGCTCTGAGTTTGAAAGAATACATTAGTCCTGCTCAGTTGAGTCTTTCTAAAAAACCAAAAATCTCTTAAAACTCTCCTTCAAAAGAGGACAAAGTCTTGAATCAGTCCAATTTGGTGGACGCATCCAGCCATGACCGGGCCCACAATTTAAAATGAAGGTTGAGGTGTGGAATTATAGAGGTTTAGGAGGACCCTCTACAATTCCCCAGCTCAAGGAGACCTTAAGGTCCCACCTTCCAGATCTGCTTATTCTCTCTAAAACAAAAAAAAAAAAAAAAAAAAAAAACAAAAAAAATCTAAATCTTTTGTTAATACTAAATGTAGGAAGCTTAAGCTTTTTGATAGGTGGTTTTATGTTCCTCCTGAGGGGACTAAAGGAGTCCTTTTTGGTGTTGGTCAAGCAAAGTCTCAGTTTTATCTGTGACTGGAAACCACTTTTGTGTTGAAGTTATCTTCAAACGGGACCAAGTCTGTAATGCCCCATTTATTTGTGGTTTATTCGAGGATTATCATTATTAATGATTATTATTACTGTTATTATTATTAATATTATTGTTATTATTATTAAATGTCTAAATATTATTATTTGTCAAATTGAAATTATTTTTTTAAATGCATATTTTATTATTAATATTATTATTTTAAAATATTGCGTGTATTATTTATTAGCCGGTTTTATTTTAATTTTCTCCACGTCGAACCGAGCCTCAAATAATTTTTGAGTCGATCTCGAGAAAAAACCCCCGTCCCAATTAGTGATCAATAATTTCAGCCTTTGAGTTTTTATTGGTCCAAATTCCTTGTTGGTAGTTGGCCCAACTAACACTATTTTGGGTAGCCCATTAATTATTTGTTAATGACCCAAGATGTATAATAGCCGGCTTTTGTTCTTCATTCTACGCACAACCGCGACTGAGTCTCGCTCATTATTCCGGCACGATTTTACCGTGGATAAATCGCACGTTCTCCAACGTTCTCCCTCCCTCTCGTCTATATGCATGGATCAGATACCATAAACTCATCACTCTCTCTCCCTCTCATTTGAACCACAGACCACGCATCAATCTCTCTCTTTTCCTTCCCATCACAGCCATCTCTCTCTCTCTCTCTCTCTCTCTCTCTCTCTCTCTCTCTCTCAAATTTTTCGATCGCGAGTCCCTTTTTCCGGCGTATCCTCTGCTCTGTTCACGTTGAGTTTAGGCTACGTAAAGTCTAGGCGATCCCCAGCTCTGTTCGCATCTTTTAAAAAAAAATACCTTCTTCCCCGGCGAGCTAATCTACCATCGCCGACCTCCGAGCAGGCCCGACTGTGAACTCTCCTCGCCAACAACAGGCCCGTTACAGCCATCTCCAATCCTTTCCGCTCTCAGGCAAAGAGGTCCGCCATAGCCATAGAGCTCGAGACCGCCGGCGAGCTTCCACCACTTCGCGTGCTTCCGACAGCCGTTCGAAGAAGATCGACGTCCGTATTGCATTCTCGAGCATCGCTCAGTCTGTCTGAAGGAGTCCGGCAAGTCGTTCGTGAGCAATAGTCGTCTGTCGAGTCCCGAAGCCGTTCGTCCGACCAGTTGCTTGGCCCGTTTTTCATTCGATAGCACGTGAATTCCCGAAGACAGGTAACTTATTCGAACCTTCTTGTTATTCCAGTCGCATTCGTATATCGCATGTTAGATATATATATCGTTTGGACTACCGAAACCTTGTTTGTAGTCGAATTCTTTTCGGTTTTTTTATCTGTTCGTATATGTTTATCTGTCCTTCGATCTTTCTGATTTAGTCTTTGACAGTAATGGAACTTTGGACTGAGTGTATCATCATTGAATAATCTATTGGTCTGCAACTCATGTTCCGATTATGCATTTTGCTATTGTAAACTATGTTTGATTTTTTTTTTGTTTTAGGTATATATTAATACCCCTCCTTGCTAATAACTGTTTTATTTATTTGCTGCTAGAATGCATAATCATTTTATCAAAGCACATATGGTACATATCAATTGTGTTTAATTCGTATAGATATGATCATTGATGGTTCCAAATTCTGAAATATGAGTGGTTATTGACAATTTCTCTTAACATAATTGCAATTGGGTAATAAGCAATTCCCAGTAGAGTGAGTAAGCAGGGGTCTTGATAATAATTTTATTCTCTGTGTTAATATTCTCTTTCTTTTGTTGGAAATCCTTCGTTAAAATTTGAGTTACTTTTGGATGATAAGAGAAACTAATCAAATCATTTCAATGTGCGTAGTTTAGTTAAGCTTACTTCAACAACAGATCTTGGTGTGAGGAAGGTCTGTCAAAATCCATGTTGTCATGTTTGAGCTATATTAATTTGAAGATCAAATAATCTTTATGATAAATGGCCTTATTTGTTTTCAGTGTCTTTATAAAAATTGTAAATGCATGATTAAATGCTTATGTTCAAGCTCGTTGCCTACACTCATTTTGTGATTTATCTCAGTTTTTTTACCAGGTGGGTACAGTTTGTTGTATCTATAATTATCGCACTTGTTATTTCATATAAATATTCGTTTCGATAGTTGTCGTATGCTTGAGAACCCTAGTCTAGGTGTCTTGTTGGTAGTGCCTTTGATGAATGCATAATCAGTAAGAGGCCGCATGCCCGTTTTCCTAGTCCGGAGGTGGACGCCCTGAACCGTTTGCCTAGTCGGGAGGGGAAAAAATAGCTCCACTGTCTCCCAGAAAGGATCACTTTGCCTATGTCGAGCTAGGGAGGGAAGGTTTTCGGTTACTTTCTTGTCGATGTTTGATCGGAAGGTTGTTGTATGTACATAGGAGGTTTGCGATAGGACCGTATAGGGAGTAGACATGGATTCTATGCAATACTTTAATTATGGTTTTGAATCTTTATGCGAAATATACTATACGGTAATGGTGAGCATGATGGTTTTGCTCGCCCCCATTGTTTGTTTTGTCCTTTTATTTCCTCTTCCTATCTTTAGGTTGAGCATTGTTGGCGGCGGCAGCGAGAGACGAGCAAGTGGTGGTCTTTGGATTGTCATGTCTTTGCTTCCGCTTTATTTTCTTATGTTAGATTGTTTTTGTATTGGATTATTTGCTTCCGCTTAATTTATTTTCATCATGATGGATGAACTATTGGGATATGTTGAACTATTGGTTTGGATTTGAGACTTATAAAATTTGTTTTGGTTATTATAATTGTCAGTTTGCATGCGTAGGTTCTGTATGGTCGAACTTAATTGTTTATTTTTTTAGTAGTTAAGTAGCGCCCATTAAAGTTCAAAGTTTTAATTTGGAATTTTTGCGAAAAATTTACTCTGATTTTTATAAATAAATTCGTTAAACTCTTTAAAATAAAACGGGGCGTTACAGTATGGTATCAGAGCTAGTCTGTATTTCTGTAGACTATCTCTAGTGTTAGTATGTGTAATGACCATTGACCACTCGCTTTCGTCTCGCCGCGCCAACTCGAGGTATGTGTTTGTTAATTTTTGATTATCTTATTTGGGCCCTAGGACTATCCACCTTGTTATGTTTCGAATTCTAGTGTTTGGGTAATGAACTCTAGAATTGATATTTTGTGCTAAACTCTTCGGATATTCAATGTAGAATCATGGCTAGACGCAATGCTCGCAACAGGCAACCGTCCCCGTCTCTGTCCCCACCTCCATTGCCTCGTCAGCAGGCTCCTCTCGATCCAGACTGGGATTTTCCGAGGCTTATCGTTCAGTTTCAGAGCATGCATGCGCCTACCTTCACGGAGACTGAGAGCCCCACTGTCGTGCTGGAGTGGATGAAGGAACTCGATAAGATCTTCGCAGTGCTTTCTCTCTCTCAAGCACAACGCGTCTCTTTGGCTGCTTTCCAAATAAAGATGGACGCTTCGGATTAGTGGATTGACTACTGCGCCTTGAGGCCAGCGGCGGAGCGCGACGCTCTT